TGGGTTTTTTTTTTTTCCTGATCCTGCTTGAGATTCTTTGGGTTCCTTGAATTACTATCTTTTATCAATTCTGAAAGATTTTCAGCTATTATATTTTGATTGTCTCTATCATTCTCTCTTTCTTTCTAAAAGCTCTGATAACACGTCAGACCTGTTGTTGTGTCCACCATGGCCTTTATGTTTCTTAACCCATTTCATAGTTTCCAGTCTTTTCTCTCTGTGTTACATTCTGGTAATTTCTTCAGAATTACGACCAAATGAATTTGAGGAAGAACCTCTATTTGGTTCTTCAAGAAATGAAAATGAATTTTAAAAATCCCAACAGGTGGATTAAAAAGACAGCTAAGGAGAGACTTTTTAAACTAGAATCTCAGAATGTTTGCTTCTACTGGCTAACTTAGGGATGGTACCCGTAGTTCAGAGCCATGTTAAACTAGATTTTCAGCTTAACGTTTTTTTGACCAGTGTGATGTTTGCTGCAAAACTTAATGAAATTCACTGACTTGGGGTTACAAATTATCAGTGGTAAGTTTTCCCAACCTCTATTCAGTGCCAGGGTTCCAAGCAGGCAGTTTTCTTTAACCCTTTGGTGGGGTTGGGGGAGGAACATTTTATTTCAAGTTCACTGTTATGGTGAGGGGTGGTTCTTTGGGATGTCAGCTTTATGGGCTGGGGCCTCCTCCTATTTGACCCCTCTTCTTGAACAGGCCCTGCACTTTTTTCTCTATCCCCATGTGGACTTGAAAATGGAAGTTCATAATCCTTGCCCTCAGGGCAAAAGCTGGCTTCGGAGTTTTCTTTACCTCTCTGGGTTTTTGCTTGGATATTTACATTTTGCGTAATTTTAGCAGCTGATTTCAGCAGGCAAATACTTACTTAGTCTAATGCTACCAGAAATAGGTGCATAACTTTCTTATATTCTTTTTTTTTCCTAAGATTTTATTTTTTAAGTAATCTCTATACCCACGGTGGGGCTCAAACTCAAAATTCAAAGACCAAGAGTCACATGCTCCACCAACGGAGCCAGCCAGGTGCCCAATTTTCTTATATTCTTGACAACACTATTTCCTCAACATTGTTGCTGAAGATCCATACCTAAAAGTTTAAGGTATGTTACAATAGATATTTGGTGGAGGAGGGATGGCAGCCCTTCACCTTCCTCACAGTATCATGACTTCCTTTTTGGGAATAAAAATAGAAATTGCATCGGTATGATTTAAAGTTACTAGCCTATATGTGGGTAGTAGGTTTTTCATTTAGAAAGTAGTTTTGAATCCCAAATTTGAGGGAATTTTTTCCCATATATGTTTATATACTGATTAAATTTAACACTTAAGTGACTCTTTAGTAATGTTAGAATATATTTGTATTGACCAGGACTTCAGTTGTTCCTTTGAGAAGATCAGTTATAATTCTTTGTTTCACTTTTTCCAGGAGATTCTGCTTTCTGCAAGAGAAGTGGGGTTCGGTTTCATCAGGGGTGCCACTGCTAGTACCCAGCTAACACTGCTTCTGATGAACCAGGTACTGCACTTTCGGCCATGTATCATTACAACAACCCCATGAGACAGAGAGTATTGTAATTTCCTCTTAATCATGAGAAAATGGAGGCTTTAAAGAGTAAGCAACTTTTCCCAGGATACCCAGCTAGGAACAGGAAACTAGGACTCCAATCCAAATAGTTTTTCTGATTCCTTGCTCTTATGCTTCTCTTGTCTTGCCTCCCTGGGGAACATGACATATACTTTATGTACAGGTGTAGTGGGTATATATTTCACAAATAATCTTAGTTTTGTCACGGAAGTCTCTATGGCCTTAGGAGAGATCCTTAGCTTATTTCCTGTCACAGCTGATACTGTAACATAGATTTTTGTTCCTGAAATGTCTGTGTGAAGTGACAGCATTCAGTCATCATATGGTGGTGGTAGGAGCTGCACACCATGCTAGTCGCTGGCTAGTGGCTCCTACACAGAAAGCCAAGAGTAATGGGTGAGACAGATGCCAGTGATGTGTTGAGAGAGAACAGGCAGGGCCCAGAGGAACATGGAGTACCATTCACCAGGGAAGCTGTAAGGAGATTCTGGAAGAATGTGCATGCGGACGGGACCACAGTGTATTAGAGGAGGTGCACAGTGGCGTTGGAGGTTCAGTATGCCTGTGAAGCAGACTGCACCTGGGAGAACTGGGCTGTACCTGGGGCAGCGGTCTGTGAGGGTCGGCAGGAGAGCTTCCCAAACGTGCTAGACTCCCCACCCCCATGTTTCCCCTTCAGCAAGCCTGCAGTGGGGCCCTGAGAACAGTTTGAGCAAGTTTCCAACGCTGCTGACACCGCTGTGCAAGAGCCACAACTTGAGAAGCACTGCCTTGGAGGGACTACCCCGTGGGTGAAGGAGAGCACCACAGCTAGCCAGGTGAGCTCAGCACCCACTCCCAGCCCCAGCTCCATGGCCGAGGCCCACACCAAATGATGGGCTGCCCCTTCTTCAGCTGAGCTAGGTAGAAACTTCCAAAAATAACTTTACCAGGAAATTAAGAATTCCATTGAATTATAAAGACCTAAAACATGTTGTCATTTACCCAAAACTCACTTAGGCCTCCTCACAGATGTCTCATTTGCTCCACAAACACCTAAGCACCTATTGTGTGCCACCCACTCCACAAGCCACTGGAAGGGCAGCAGGTGACAAAGCTCCACCGGTCTAGCCTTCTGTCTAATACAGTGGCCACTAGCTAGCTATTTAAACCTAAATAAAATTAGAAATTCCATTCCCAAGTTGCATTGGCCACATTTGAGCGCTCAGTACCTATATGTAAATAGCAGCAGGGCAGACAGATACAGAGCACTCCAGCACAGAAAGTTTTCGGTTGGGCAGTGCTGGTCGAATGGGCATTTAAAAATGCACTGAGTTAGCTCTAAGGGAGCAGGGTGAGGGTCATTGAGCTGTAGAGTAGATCTCATGCAGCCTGAGCGTTGTTGACAGAGTGGTAGTGGAACAGGCTGGAGAGGAACAGGTAGGAGTTTGCCTTCCATTCTAGTGTCTCAATTCTTTTCCTTCAATTCCACAAACTCATGTGTGCCTTTCAACAAATCCCTTTATTGTTCTTGAATGTGACTCATCACAATGAAAGAGCACCATCTAGAACTGCATTCTACAAACTGTTCTGCAGAAAAATGTCAGGAGGTGTTCCCAACTCCCCCTGCCCCAGGAGAGACCCACAGTGCCCATGGACACTGACGGTTCTGATCAGTCCTGCAGTAAAGGAGCCTTTACAATCTTATTTAGGTTAGGTTTCCCCAACTTACAGGGCCATGTGATACAATCAGCTTGTGATACACTTTTGGATCTTAGTTTGAGGAAAGCAGACTAGAACATGCCTCTTGTACACTTTGTCTTGTTTTGCATTATTTATTTGAAAAGCCCTTTGTCAGAATGTGTTGTGTAGATGAGAGTTCCTTGCTCATTTGAAAGGCCATGGAGGACCTAGACATCCCCACACCTCCTGCCAGCAGCCAAGCCATCAGGCCTCACCAGCTACGCACAGAGAGCAGGCAGGCAAGGGGAGCAACGTGTTCTTTTATTGATGCAAGTAGGTCCAGTAACACCAACAACTGACATCCTGCATTATGGTACAGCTTTGTACTCAGAGTTCATCTCAAAATACCAAAACATCATAGGGTGTGTATCAAATTGGGAAAATAAAGTAGCAAACATAGACACTGTATCCCGTAGGTACTAGAACTGATGACCCAGTGGAATGCACAGACATGAAAGCTCCTTAACTCAAGACGGAAAGTGTTCTAACATTGTATTCCAAATATATATTCTCAAGTTTTTAGCCTTTCTTTGTCTCAAATACATAAACAAAGCAATATGTCCTATCAAGATACAATATGTACTATCTAGAATGTCTGAAAAGTGCGAAAACACTGTGACAATACAGTGTAAATATTCTTGCTCCACCCAGGGCTGAGGGCACCAGCAGCAGTGGATCCTGGAGCCACCCCTTCCTGAGGCCTCACCTCCACATCTCCAGGCTCTCCTAGGAGCTTTGGGAATTAGCAACTAACTGCAGGCTCCTGTGGGAGGAAGCCAGGCGTGCAGAGAGCAACAAGGGTGCGTAACTCCAAATCTGCTTGTGCAGAATGAAAGCCCCACTGTGAGGGAGAGAGAGTCAGAGCGATGGCCCACCTCTGGCTTTTGAGGGACCAGGACTTGCCCTCCCACAGCCAGAAAGACAGAAAATGGGAGTGTACTCCTCAAGTTTGGGTGTGAAAAATACCTCCAAATGCTGGGCAGTTTTATGTGAGTGGGCTCCAGCAGTTTGGTCTGGCTAATTTTCTGTTTCAGATTCCCTTAGGGGAGCCCCCCAACCTAGAGGAACAGAGGAGGCTGTCCACTAGAATACCAATTTGTGAGTTGCTTCTTTTCACTTTGTAGTGGAGTTTGAAGAACTGCGTTAAATGTCCCCATCCTCATATGCTCATTACAGCTCAGTGTACCTGTTACAGCCTGGAAAACAGACAATTCCATCACCTTCCCCCTATATTATTTTAGATTTTCTCTTTTCCTAAAATGTAGTTGAACAATTTGCCAGACATATTCCAACAGAAAATATGCTGCCCGGTATCCCCCTGCCCCTCCCCAATCCCCTAAATCCCTGATAAAGGAAAATGAAAATGTAAACGTTGGAAAGCCTGTACTCAAGGCTTGCTTCTAGAAGTATGCAAATGAGGCCCCCTGGCCAGCCAAGCCCTTCTTACTGGAACCTCTCTGGCCTAGGCTTTGAGGGCAGGTGCCTTGTGGCCCAGGGCAGAGCTTTCCTGGCATTTCCCCGGCGGCACTGGCTGCCTGAGGGCTAAAAGAACGGAGTGGGAGACCGGCCCTCCAGTACTCTCTAAGGCACTAACCCCGACATCAGAGACACTGGCTAGAAGGGCGTCCAAGCAGGCAGGGCTCACATTGGTTTTGGTTGGGTTTTTTTTTTTTAATATTTTTTCATAAGATGTTAATAATCAAAAGTAGAAAATAAAAATCTACATTTCATTAGAATAAGATGTTATCATGGATGCCATCTCCCATGATACTCTTTCCCCACCCTTCCCCGAAGCAGGGCCCTGCCCTGTTATTTAAAATAAACCACCAAAAAAAAAAAAAAAAACTTTTTTAAGTGCCAAAGGTTGATGCATGAAATAATTTTTTTTTTCATAAAAGTTATATACAAAATGGACCCCAACCAGTGAGGCCTCCTCATCTCAACCCTTATCAATCAAGATTAAAACTCAGTGCATGTGTGTGCTTCATCCAGCGTCGGCAGGCTGCATCCGTGCCTTCAGGCTCTGTTAAGGAGAGTGGTCCTAGAGGTAGGCAGGGCACAAGGAAATGGTGAGGTGGTTGGCAGGCCCTTCCCCTGAGCAGGCAGAGGGCAAGCCACGCTATTTGGGGGGACCTGGATTCTAAGAACCAGCCATCAGGGGAAGGGTCAGGGACACTCAGACCCAAGTCCTCAGCCTCCCACTAACTGGCAGCCTGTGTGGAGTTAACCCTGGCTGCCTTTCAGAAGGGCAGATCCATCATGCTCCCCAGTCCTCTCCCTTCCTGTAGGCCCAGGCATGGGACTGGTCTCAGAGGCTCACAGGCCTATCCCTGGGGTTTTCTTACCTGAGAGTCTTCCAGCTATCTTTTTCCATGTGGTTTTCAGGACCTTCACTTTCAAAGGAGGCGATGAAGAGAGCTGAGAGATGAAAAGCCCCTCAGAACCCATGTCCTCGTACAGTCTGCCTACCACACCAGTTATCCCTTCCTTTCTAGGGGAGCAGCTGACAGTGACCTCTGGTCTGAGCTTTTCCACAGGTCTCTGTTGCCTGGGGTTCCAGGGCCCATGAGGTCTAGAGCTCCCCGCTTCCTGCTTAGGGACTAAGAAATTTCCTGGTTCTACAGCACGAACCCAACCCTGTTCTGGCTCCCTCCCAGAGCCCCATCTCTCGTGCTCATCCTGTCATCTACCCACAGCCCACCCTCATGTACTCACCCCTGGGGGCTGAGCTTCCCCTGTGTAGCATGGAGACAGTGATCAGGCCTGCCTCTCAGGGCAATGCCCTGAGGGCAGAGGCCCTGGATGTGGGGGAGTCAGGGTGACATGTACGGTGTAGGGAGGTGGGTGTGCTGCCATGGAGAGCTGGCCTTACCTTCCTCGCTGTAGATGGGTGCCGTGAGCAGGTAATTCTGAATCTTCTTTTCCTTCTCGAAGGGACACTCTACCTGAGTCCATGTCATGAACTCATGGATCTGTCTGGAGATCTCCCAAAATTTCTGAAAATAACAGAAGACCAACTGGCTGTTCATTTGTCACCTTAAGCTCGAAATCCTTGGTTAGGGCAAGGGATATAGGTTCTGATTTCATTCTGCATCCCAGCAAGATGGGACAGTGACCCTACTCAGCTGACTTTGTGGCTACAGCAGCACCTGATGCAACATCAGAGCCAGTAAGTGTCCCTACGACCACTCTGTCCTGCCCTCTGCCTAGGCCATCAGGCTGCAGCAGGGTCTGTGCCTCCCCTATGCAAGACCCAAGAAGGCCCCATCTGGGACTCCAGGCTGAGGCAGGTATGCCAGCCACACCCAGCAGAACATGCCATGATCTCTGTTCGGGCCGGCCTGTGTAAGGGTCCCTAACTCCTTCCTACCCCTTACCTGTGTGAGGTAAACACTGGACAACCCCACTTCCCCTACACCTCCCCAATCACTTTTGTCCTACTTTCCACCCTTTGCCTGCTACCCTTAGCTTCCATCTGGAAATCTGCTGCCTCCTCCTCCCTCTCAGGCAGGTCCCTTCTTGCCTAATGCTTTCCTCATTCCCAAAGCCCCAGGAGTAGCCCCTTCTCTGTCTCCCTATTAGGGTCAGTGTTGGGACCGGGGTCCTGGGTAAATATAAATTTCCTGTGGCTCCAAGCCCTATAACCAGATCATCCACCCAGAAGGATTGAGGCCACCCTTATACTTCACAAACAGCACACGTAACCCACCCTGGAGCTTTCAGTCCTAAAGGCTTTCTGCGACAGGGCCACTGCCTTGTAGCTCTAGTGGCACAGACAGACTCTGCCTGCCCTAGGATAAGGCTGAGGGTCTGTTCTGCCTTGGATGGGGACAGTCTGGCCCCCTTCCCCTCAGACCACAAGGGGGCTGAGCTCACCTTGAAGTTAACATGCCCATTGGGCAGGTGGTTGGTATGGATTTTGTGCAAGAAGTAAATATCCTTAACGAAAAGGTTGAAAACAGGGATAACAATCTTCTCTCGGCTGCTGTTGGCCATCTGGGACCTTTGTGTGGCCCCCTGCAGGGCGGTGCGGTAGTTGCAGAAGTTGCTGGATGGGTCCATGTGGTGCTGTGGGCAGAGAGGAGGACTCAGTGGGCAGTGTTCTCCCTGCACCTGTGACTTGCTCAGAATGCCCCTTTGCAGAGTGGAAACAGTGATGGGGAAGGCCCTTCCCCACTGGGCAGCCCTGGACTGTCCTCAGAAGAGGCCTCCTTTCTAGGAGTGAGCACCTGGCTCAGTATAGGGTTTGGGTCCAAGCATCATCAGGAGAGTTAAAGAGAAGTCTCACAGCTCACACACACACCTTTCCCCTGCCCTGCTGAGCCTGGGTCTCACCTCTTTCCTTTCAAAACCTTCCTTGCCCCTCTACTTGGACCAACACCTCCCAAACCTGACGGGCTCCATGAGACCTTTGCAGAAAGTGGATTCTGGGATCAAATACATCAGGGAAGGCTGCAAGTGAACCTGCCTGTCCACTCCTGGGCCACCCAGATGATCCAGGACCACAGGAATTCAAGCCAGGAAAAGGCCAGTTGGCTTAGCATCACCTAGCACAGGGCTCACGGGCCCACTTTTGTCAAACTGTTTCCTAAGCACTCTCCAGAACTTGCTTTAGGCAATGCCAGTTCTGACTAAAGTTCCAAAGGCCGAAGAGGGCTTCAGCTACCCACCTAGAGCAGCCAGGCCAGCTCAACGTGCCCTACACCAGATGGCATTGTGTGCAGTGGGTTCTGAGCAAGGGGGCAGAGCACGATGGGAGGCCCACCCCTCCTCAGGCCAATGTAGGACGAGGCTGAGGTGCCTACCTCCAAGACGTCAAACTTGGCCGTCTTGACTTTGGACCACGTTTTCTTCAGCCTCGCCACAGGACTGAGGTTCATGCCAGCTGCAGGGAACAGCAGGTAGGGTCAGGGCGGGGGTAGGCAAGCCATGCAGAAGCTGGACAGGAAGCCCCTGGGGCCTGGACACTCACAGATGATGGCCATCATGGAGTTGAAATTCCCGATGTTGAAGCACTCCCGGGCCACATCAATAAAGAACTCTAGCATGCGGGTCCGGTGCTTCTTCTTCACCACCTTGAGAGCAGCCAGACAGCCTCAGGGTGAGCCCACCACAGGAGCATCCCCTCCACCACCTGTCCCTGCAGGGCAGCCTGGACAGGAGCTACTCTGGGCCCTGAGCCGTCCAACCCAGGGCTGGGGAGATGCTCGAGGGCTGCAGAGGCAGGAATGCAGCTGTGGCATTTTTGATGCTGGGCAGAGGGGCAGGAGAGCAGTCTGAGAGTACTAAGGGAGCCCCAGATGAACTCCCGGACCGTGCTGGTGCGCTCCACAGATGGGGGTCTCACAATCACTGTGGATTGGGCGGGGTTAGGGGTAACAGGGATGTTGGTGGCCCTGGCAATGAAGGCTTCTGTCTCCACTTTCAAAGTTTCATCTAAGGGGTACAGAAGTCAGAGCCTCGGGCAGCCCTGTGGGTTCAGAGAAGTGACAGTGCCACCCCACCCATACGGGCCACGCAGCGCTTACCCGGCACACCTCGGTGGCCACTAACATGCTAAGGCAGTTGAACCAGTTGTCATAGGCCTCCAGGCTATAGGTCTTGGTCAGGTCCCCTCGGCACTAGTGGAACACGACAGGTCACAGGGAGTCTGAGGACCCTGCCAGCAGGTGCTACCCCAGTCCTACCCCGAGAAATGAGCGGGAAGCATGGCCAAAAGAGACTGAAGATGGGGTGTGGGCAGCTGGACAGGTCCAGGTCTCCCGGGACGCCCCCTCCCCAGGTGCCCCCTTCTAGTATATATCACCCTGCATTGCTGTCTGCTGACCCTCTGAAGTAGGCACCAGGCCAGACCCATATCCATTTGGTTGTGAGGCCCCCACCCCCCATGGGGTATATATAGGTACCAGGCCCACCCTAAGGCCACCCCAGAGCACACAGCAGGCCCTCACCCTGTGCTTGTCCCGAGAGTCCATGTGGCTGACGATCTGCATCAGGTCCTCAGGGTGAATGCTGCTGACCCTCTCCTAGGATGGGCAAGGAGATAGCACAGGAGGGTGACAAGCCTGCCATTTTTGGGCAGGCCCCACACTCAAGGTCTAGGCCACATTCAGAGTAGCAGTCAAGACCTTGCAGGTGAGTACCACAGCCCCGCCTTGATCACAGCACCCACCCAGTGGGCAGGCCCTGCCTGCCCTCCCGCAAGTGTAACCACCACCACCCCCCCCCGCAGGGGTCTAAAAGACCCTCCCCTGGGAAGGGAGGAAATGGCGCTTCATGGGACTGAGGCGGAAGCCTTGGGGCAGTGGCTGCTAGGTGCAGGGTACCTTCCCAGTCCACGGCACGGGCAAGATGAGGTGACTGGGTGGGGGGAACTGGCTCTCCCCCTCCAAGCCCTTCACCTCCTCGGCCAGTCCTCCATCCAGGGGCCACTGCAGTCCCCATCACCCCAGCCCCTCCCATGTACACAGGGCTGCTGTGATCCAGGGACCCAGAAGCGGTGGTTGGAGCTGGCAAGTGAGCTTCACCTGACACCCCAGTCTGACCAGCTGGGGAGGCCCTGCAGCACTGTGTTGAAAAAGATGCTGGCGGGGCGGGGTGGGGGGGGGGAGTCCAGTGGCCTTGAGTGAGCATTGGTGAATACACCCCCACCCGAGGCAGGGCACACGGCAGCACTGACCAGCTCAATATGAGTCAGCTGCTGAGCCAGCACCAGGGGGTCGCAGCACACGCCCAGGATGTCCTTCTGAGTGGCTGGCGGCTTAGCCTTGAGGACAGACCCTTTGTCCATGGCTGGTGAGCGGAGCTTCTCCCGCAGCTCCTGAAGCTGGTTTCGGGCAGCTAGGGACAGCAGCAGGCTCTGTGTCATTTGGGCAATGGCCTTCTTCACTGTGCCGTTCTCCTGTGGGGGCAGGGGACAGTGAAGGTACTGGTGTGGGCTGACAAGACCACCACCTCTCCCAAGGAACCTATCTCCTAAGGATATGCCTAACTTTGAACCCACATCCCTACTCAAACCTGCCATGAGCATTTGGGCCTTTGAAGACAGAATGAAATACAGTGTGAGCTCCTCTGAGCACAGCTGAGGGTGGCTTAGCTGACTATCCTGTGGGGATGGGAGCTGAGGGCCAGGCCAAAGCCAGGGGTAGGCCTCTGGGTCTGAAAACCATGGCTTTCCCCAGAGGTGTCCAGCTGAGCTACTACTTTTGGCCTTCCCACAGCGGGGGTGGCGGGGGGGGCTGTCACAGTAGAGAAGAGAGCATCTGGAAGGGCTTCCTCCAAGACCAGGAACCTTCACTCCCTGGGTGGGAGCAGCCCTGGCCCTGCCCAGAGCTCTCCCTGGGCTTTCCAAGCCCTCCAGCCAGACAAGCTGCTGAGCACACAGCACTTCCCAGGTTTCCTGTATCCACAAAAGACCAGGAGTGTGCTGGGGGCCAGAAATGCAAACAGGTTCTTACAACCTCTGACTAGGTTCCCACTAGACTCACCCCAAACCCAGGAAAGGGTGGGGCCTGGGCTCATTCCAGCCCACCACTCAGGCCACAGGGTCTCCCATATGCAGAGGGTGCCGAGGGCAAGCCTGGCCCATGGCTAGACAGCTGAGGAGTCTTCTTGTGGGGAGGGACACAAATGGAGCCACCGAGCATTCATCTTGGAAGGGTGACAGCATAGAAGACCCACCCTCCTGTGAGAGTCGACCCCCTCCCCCCAACATATACCCAAGGAGCTCTGCCAGGGTCCAAGGAAGACCTCACCTCATCACACTGTGTGACCCTGTGGGTGATGACCTTCAGTTCGGCCATGGCCTTCTCATCCTGGAAGTCGTAGGGGAAGGCCTCCGTCCATTCCTTTAACAGCTGTACAATCTTGGCTGAGAAGGACTTCAGCTTAGCCTGGGGCAGCAGGGCATAGAGTAAAGTCACCCTCCAGAGCTGACAGCAAGATGACAAGTGGTACAAGCTTCCCCATCTCCCCCACACCCATTACCACCTGCAGGACTTACCCTCCCCCCGCACTGGGGTGAGGGTCCTAGGTAGGGACATCCCCCACCCTGTCCACCTGTGGTTTTCTTGTACCCGTTCCGTTTCCTATTCCCCTTAGTTCGCCTCTTTCACTTAAATTCATTTTCCAAAAAATTCATCCTCTCACTACCATGACACAGAAAACTAGTTTCCTTTGCTGTAATTAGAAGTTACCCATTTAAAACAACAACAATGAAAACCAAGCAAAATTATTAACAATGAGAGACTCTTGCCTGCCCCCTCTCAGTTAAAAGCAGGTTGGCAAGTCCCGGGAAGGGGTGCAGACACTCAGGCATCCCTCTCCCGGCTTCGTGTCATTAGAGATGGGCAGGCACTCCTGCTGTTGCCCTGGGTCCACACACATGTAAGGCCTGAGGAAGGTGTGCCGAAGCCTTGGCCGCAGCGTCCCAGCTGGTCCTCAGTGCCCAACCCCACACTGTCCCACTGAAATGACCACACGTGCCCACACCCCTCCTGTGCCCACCACGGCTCCTCCTCAGCACCGACCAGCTCCCTGCCTGCCTGTACTTGCCCAATCCAGACTGTTCTTGCTGCCCTGGGGGCCTCTAGCCACTCATCCCCACATCTTTTTGCCCACATCTGCCCTACCCCTGCTGAGCTGCCTCCAGCCGGCCTGATCCTGGCCACGTACCCAGCTGGTCCCCTAGCGATGGCTTCTCGTGCCCTACAAGGCCTCTCCCAGCTGGCCGCCTCACTCCCTGTAGCTATTCCTCCTCGCCAGGGTCCAGTGCCTGCAGCATCCAGGAGGCCTTGATGGCACTCCCCCCAGATGACCACAGCACCCCACACTCAGCAGGAGCTAGAGCCTTGAACTCAGAGGCCCTGCAATGTATGTCACCATGGACACAGCCTGGCGGGCTCACCCCAGGCTCCTCTCAGTCTTCTCCTGTCCCCACGCTGACCTTCCACCTATAATTTCATCTCCCTGCCCACCCCGCTTGGCCTTATTTCCACCTGTCTCTTCAGGAGCCTTTCCTAATCCTCTGTGGTCAATGCCTGTCTCCTTGCACCCTGGGAACGGCCTCCTCTGACAAGGAGACTTACTCCAGAGGCCTGAGCTGCAAACCCGCAGGGACAGGAGAGGGAAGGTAGAGGACAAAGTCATCAGCAAACAGGGGTGGGACATGCTCTGCCGCAGCCCAGACTCGGCCCTACCAGTTCTCGGGCCGCACACCTACCGCCCCATCTTCACCGGACTGGGCTTCTAAGAGCCTCATCCGAAGCACACGCCCCCAGCCATCCTGGCCACCCAGAGCCCGGCTCAATCAGAAGAGACAACAGGGACAAAGAGCCCTACTGAAGTCACTGAAAACCACTCTGAGCAGGAGTCAGCCTGCGAGGGCTGCCCCCCCCACCCCCACCCGCACAGTGGTGGCTGTTCTGCCAGCAGGGGGCCTGGCGCTGGCTGCTGCTGCGGGCCGCTCCTGAGAAGAGGCGTGAGTGCCCACCGAGACCAGCTACTTTCAGCATCCCATGAAGACTGCTTGGCTCTGTGTGTACTCCATGCCCCACGGGAGCCATGCCCCAGGGGTGCCAAGCGGGCCAGAGACAAGCCAGCCTTGCCCAGTCAGCCAGACCCGTCGTGCGGGCGTACTCGGAGCCTGCTTCTCTCCCCAGTGTGAGCTGGGGGGAGCGGGGACGCAGAGACAGGTAGCCCCCATCAGCACCTTTACCTTCTCAGACCCCGTCTCCAGCTGCTGCCTCCGCTCCAGGCAGATCTGCCCCACACGGGCCAGCAGGTCATGAGGGGGGATGAAGACCCGGGAGCTCAAGAGAAATGTAAAGATGTATGTCCTCTGAAGAAAAGAGACCAGGAGAGAGGAGGAAGAGTAGGTCATAGCCGGTGTGCCCCCCCCACCCCAGGTCTGCTCAGAGCCTGGCTAGCCACCTCCCAGGCCCAACAGCACCATCCAGCGGCCGCGTCTTCTCCTGCGCGGCTTGCTGCACCTCGAATGCCCTTTTCTCTCACTGCTACCCAAGTCCTGCCCCCCCACAAGGCACAGATCAGATCCCACTTCCCGGCAGCTCCGGGAGGCGTCCCCTGACAAGCTCAGCTCCCAGAAGTCTTGCTCTGCTGGGATTCTCCCCCACCCTCTGTCCTTCCCCACGAGGGGAGAGAACACCCAAGCCTGGATGTTGGTGGGATTCTCCCGACCTGTGTGAGCCTATCGCCTAGTCCACAGTGCCCCCAGGGCCAGGCTCCAAGCGTGCTTCTCCAGGTCGCCCCTGGCCTTGCCTGGGGAGGCCAGTCGGGGGCAGGGTGGGGCGGTCTTGGAGCCAGCACCCAACAATAGGGGACCGCTGCAAGCCGTCACCAGCCAGCTGTGGGCCTTATCTACCCCCCCCCCGGCACACCAGGGCCCCTCTTTCCCACAGCCTTGTGCCCTTGTCACTGGGCTGTCTGGTCCAGGTTCTGAGGGGTCCTCATGATCTGAACTAAAAGGGAGCAGGGCCCTGGGCCTGCTCTGAAGCACTTTGTCTGACACGGGTCAGCGCCTGTGAGCTCTCCACACTGGCCCCTGCCTACAGACAGGGTGGACTTGGGAGTGGGGGAAGCTGTTTGGGGCTCTCCTGGATATTCTACCCCTGAGGTGCCCTGAGCTGCCAGCCCCCGAAGCTGTTTGGGGCTCTCCTAGATATTCTACCCCTACATGGCTGCTGCAGGCCGGGGGGGTTGCCTAGGACCCTTTGCCTCCACTCTGGGCCCAAAGGGGCAAGTCTGGGCAAGCTGGGCCATGTTTGCTGAGAGCACAGGCCTGTGGAACAGGACTCAGGGCCTCAGGCCCTCATTGCCCTCATGCAGCCTTCAGAGGCCACTGGAGAAAACTCTCCTGGGAACAGCAGGGCTTCCTCTTAACCCCCCACCCGCCCGCCGCCACATACACACACATTTCCTATGTCTGGTCCCCAGGCTGTGCAGCACGTGTGCTCAGAGATCTCAGCTGGTCGGTGGCCCTCTTCTAAGCAGATGGCTCAGAAGTGTGATGACAGTCACCCAGGCATCACACCTCGGAGTTCTCAGCCAAGGCAAGAAGAGCACACAGGGAGCAGCCCTGCACTTCCAAGGAGCACAGAGATTCAATGGTGCGCACGCCTCCCCAGCTGCCCACAGACATGGCGCAGGGGCAGTGGGGGAAGGAAGGCTGCAGGAGCTGTTGCCCAGCTGGGTTTGCCAGCCCTACCCTTCTGCTCTACCACCCCTTTACACTCTCCTGGCAGGCCGGCTGTGATACCAGGGCATAGTGTCTGGGCGATAATACTGGGTAATGGCTGAAGAGGTTCCGCTGGGACAACAGACCTGAAAGAGGAGTAGCTCCTCCCACAAGGCCACAGAGCGGTGCTGGGGTTGGAGGTGCCAGCCCCTGGGCGCCAATGCCCTGCCCTAAGCTTCTTCAGGGCCTCAGGGCCCCTCTCCCCAGCTCTGCCACTGGTCCCCAGCTGCCAGGTCCGCACCACCAATAGCAGCCCCGGCCCAGCTCTGGGAGGGTTTTCAAGTAGGATGGAGTAGACAGAACCCCAGGAGGGAGGGAGGAGGCCTGACATGTTGGGGGGGGGCAGGAATACCCAGAAACTGAGTTGGCTCCAGCACCATTAGATACAAGCCTTCGCAGCTTGACTCTCCAAAGGGAGCGGGCAGGCCCAACACCACTGCTGCTACAGGATGCCCCTTATTGGAGGCAAAAGGGAAGCCACACGTGACAAGGGAATCTTTCTAAGAACGTGCCCGTGGCATCTTGGAATGAAGAGGGAGGAATTGCTGCCGAAGGCCAGTTCTGCCCACGCAGCCATGTGCCTTGGGGTCTGCATGCTGGCCAGGCATGGCGGAGCTGTCTCCCCTTTTTCTGGATTATTGCAGTTCACGCACAAAACAAACTTCCCAGCTCAGGGACAGGATACATGCTGGGTGGACCCTCACCAGGACCCCAAGGCGCCAGCCTTACCCCTTAGACTCCTCATCCTCCCTGAAGACCCTGTCCAGAGCTCAGGTCCCTGTTCCACCCCCTTGTGTATCTGCTTCCTTGTGCCATCAAGGCCCTCTCCCAGCTGCCCGGGGTCAGCAGGGAAGTCACTGCAGGCTCCTCTCCGCTAGGCTGGGGGCAAGAGGCAGGGCAGGAAGTAGGGCTGAGGCTCCCTGATGGCCTGCCCCTTCCCATCCCAGAAGCAACCTCCCCTGGAACCTGGGTGGCCCCCACCAGTCCCACCCATCTCTAGGCCCTAAAGACTCACATCCGGGTAATAGTCCACTGTGGGGACCAGGTGCTCCATCAAGGCCTCCAGGGACCCAGAGATGAGGCGTCCCTCTTGAAAGATGAGGTCCCCTGAGCTGCCAGCCACGCTTCCTCGCTCCCCCATGCCGGGCTGCACCTGTCCACTACAGCTGGACCCGAGTATGCTGGAGAAGACAATGGACGTCTGGGGCATAGTTTCCTGGAAAGAAGAAAAAGGCATCAGAGGCCCAGCCGCCAGGCCCTCCTCCTCCCAGGCCAGCCTGCATCCTGAGTGTGTACAGGTGTACAGTGCGAGCCCCAGCAGGGCCAGGAGGGGCACCCCACCCAAGGGTGGGCATTAGGGCTCAGCTCGGGTGGGCAGGCAGGCTCCTTGGCCTGCAGCCACCGGGTGTCTGATAAATGTTTCTTCAAAACATGCTCTGTGCATACGAGGCCTCATTCCTGGAGCCTAGACACACAAAACCCTGCCCCTGGGGTTACATTCCAGGGGAAGAGAACCTATGGAGAAGAACACGAAGCAATGTAGGCAGCCTCAGCTAAGATACCATTGGAATAGACTGACGGTGTTAGTCATGGAACATCCTGGAATGAGAAAGGAACATTCTAGGCATAAGGGATAGCAGGTGCCAAGGTCCTAAGGCCAGTGTGTACGGAGGGAAGCAGCAGAGACAACTGTCTGAGGAGTAACAAATCAGACTATGCACACCTGGGGGCTAGGGAGCCATGTGCTCTTCCTCTGAGTGAGACAGGAGGCAGGGGGACGCCGAGCACAATGACCTGACTCAGGGTGATGGTCACTATTTCTACTGTGTGGAGACCCAGCAAGGGAGGATCTGAAAACCAATTGGTGGATTTTGTCATAACCCAGGAAGAGACTGCTCAGGTCAGGTGGTAGCAGAGGAGGGGAGCAGGGTCGACTCCGGATGCTGTGAAGGATGCTCTTGGGCCTGAGTGATGGACTAGCATGGGGAAGAACATGAGGGCGGGGTTTGGGGCAAGATCTGGAACTTGCTTTTGGACATGCTGAATTTGAAATGCCTATTAGACTGACATGTCAGACAGCAGTCTGGGGGGTGCTCAGTGCCCCCAGAGCTGGGGCTGCCCACAGGGGCCTGGCCTGGCCTCACACAGCAGCAGAGCCTCCTGGAAGTCCTCCTGAGGTCTAGGGGAGTCTGCAGCCCTCCTGGGCCTCAGTTTCCCATTGCCTGCGGCAGCTGGGAGAGCCTGGGAGGCGCCGCCTGGGGACAAGTGAGGCACATTTGCAGCCCGAGGCCTCTAGTGCCCACGTGCGTGCTCTCCCTCCTGCAGCCAGAGTGGCCCAAGCTGCTGGCTTGACCAGTCGCACCATCTGCCCGCTTAGAGGGCAGGCAGGTCTAGGTCGGAGTGGAGGAGCGGGGCCTTCCTGTGCTCGCTTCCGTGTCCGGTCAGCACCGGCCAGCAGGCACCACCGCCCCGCACGAGCCTCCCCAGGCAGCCGTGAGGCCTTGCCTCCCCAGAGGTGGAGGCCGCCCCGTATACACCCCTGCCGTGGCTGCTCCCAGCCCAGAAGACCCAAGCTGGCACAAGCTTCTGAGCCGTGTGGCCTCAGTTTTCCCACTGTGTGAGCAAACAGTAGTCACGATTATTTTAGTCACGAGAGGGCCCAGGGCCAGTGTGTTCCAAGGTCTACACAAGCAGATCCAACTCCCACCCCACAGCATATCAGCTGAGCCTCGCATGAGGGGAAAAGGGTCCTCGGCCCAAATAACGCAGGCTTACCTGCCAGACACCTGAAGGTTGCCTTAGGATTCTCAAAAAAATCCTCTGTAAGGAGAGTAAGAGCTCAAGGAAAGCCCGAGGGATTGACATGCCCTTGGTCCCCAGGCTCAGCTGCCCCACTTGGGATGGGGCTTCAGACTCCCAGAACACACCCCTCAACACATGGCAGAATGCACATTCTCAGGCCCTGCCCCAGACCTGCCAAGTCAGAAACTCAGGCGCGGCCCGTGATCTGTACCTTAGCAAGCTGTCGGGGGTGGGGGGGGGGCAGCTTCTGAGGCTGCTCAAGTCTCTGTGTCTTTGGCAGTCACCTGCCCGTGGCCAGCCCAGAAGTCATACCCTGCTCCTCCCTCAAGGCTCCTCACCCTCATGGGGGTTTCAGTCCTCCAGTGCACCCCACCCACGCCCTGCCCAGCCCAGCGGGCCACAGGGAGAAGCTGCCAGGAGAGGCCCATCCCTTCGGCTCGGGGAGCATCTGGGCTGAGGACCCCATAACTGGACTCCCCAACTGCACAAGATCCCATATTGCCCATTTTTTCAATGACATCAATATAAGTTTACATAAACGCCCGGAAACACGTGGCCATCCACCCCCACACCAGTTACAGAGTTTACTACAAGGGAGCTGGAGAAGGAGGAGACTTTCACTTTCCGTTCTATACATTTGCAAGCTATTTGCTAATCTAAATGGCACATCCATTTTGTCATTTTTAAAATAACTGTTTTTTTAGTGCAAAGAGGCTGAGTTTTGAAACCAGCACTTTTTATAAAGGCTTTTTAGAGAGGCTGAGGTCCGGGGCTGGGCCTGTGGATGAAGGCACAGCCACCACCGCGGATCCCCGGAAAAGGCAGGCTTCGAGGTAGGGGTCTGGAACCCACTCAGAGAACAGGGAGGGCCCACGGGGGCTGTATGGGACCACCCCCAAGGGATGCTGCCTGCCCACATGTCCTCCTCTCTTGCCTCCTCTGTGCACTGAGCTCACGGGTCCTGGGGGCCTCTCAGTCCCTAAGAGAGCCCCCACCCCCAGCCATGAGCACTGAGGGGTCTCCAGGTGCAATGCCAAGTGGGCAAAGATAGAGAGCACCCTCGGGTTTGAAGCCCACTCTGCAACAGCCAGCTCCTTGCTCCTGGCCAAATCTAACCAGCCTCCACTTCGGCAGCCATTAAGCAGGACTGGGGACAAGCCCTGTGGAGCCCTCTACCTGCCTGGCATTTCCGCGGGCCACACCTGGCCCCGTGGTCCCTCTGTTCTTGTATGTGGCGTCCTCCCCTCCCATCCCGGCAAGAGCAGGAACTGCCATCACTGGCCACACTCCTGTGTGTCCACTGTCCCTGACCGGCCCCCTTCTCGAGGAAGGGCCACTCAGAGTGGCTCCTGTCTTGGGTGGGGGAGACACAGCAAGTGTCATCATAAGAAACCAAGCTCAGACTGAGTCCATCACACGAGCCATCAGTGACACCAATGTGAGCACCGAGTCGTCTTGCTATTCCTCACGGACCCCACAAGAACCCCCACGAAACCTGTTATTCTCCATACTCTGCAGATGAGGACAAGGCACAGAGAGACTAGGGAACTGGCCCGGGTCACACAGCTAGATCGCGGCAGTGCCAGGATGGCCGCGAAGGCCGTCGGGGGACCCGAACCTGCGCGCGGCCCGGCCACCTGGAGCTCTGTCAGGGTCCTCGACCTCTCGGAGCCTTCACTTCCTCATCTGGGGAATGGGCACAGGGTGGGCTACGTCTGAGGTTTGCTGGGAGGATGAAATGGGCACTTGTGTAAAGTGTGGCATGCAAGACGTTCTCTCACCTCCCCGTCCCGGAGGAGCCAACTCCACAGACGTGCCCGTTCAGCACCCCGCACGGGCCATGCGGGGTGCCCAGGACGCACAGGTGCTGGATTATTCTAGACACACGGGCCCCCAGGGGCCTCAGAGAGCCCGACCCCGCACGGATGCCCTCAAGCCAGTGCGGTGCCCGAGCTACGGCAGCAGCACCACCAGGGGACTCGTGCGCGGGGTGCCTCGGCCCCGGTCGGAACTCACCGGTCCTCGGGAGTTTTCAATCCTCTCGGAAAGCAGCTCTGCTCCAGGCGAGGCCCAACCAGCAGCACCTCCACCGGCCGCCTCGCAAAAATGCAGGACGGGTTCCAGCCCCAGCCTGCCTGCCGCGTCAAGACGGCATTTTTGTGGGACAGGCTTGGGCCTTGGAGAGCGTTGGCCTGCAGGTGAGAGCCTGCCTCCCCCGGGGCAGTGCTGCCACCGGACTTCAGAAGCACCCGGGGTGTTTAAGAAAACACTCTGCCCACCCCGCCCCCAGCAATCCTGACTTAACTGGACTTGGCCGGGGCGATTTTCAGGGTTTTCTGGGGGAAAATGGGAGCAGGGGGTACAGGGGGCCTCTCACTCACCTCTGCTGCCCTTCGCTACACCCAGACACGACCGGAGGCTGTGGACACTCAGAGGAGAGCTCTGGAAGCCTCCTGAGGCCAGGCCCAGGACGGGGGAGGACGGAGCCGGGTTGGGCCAGCCTTCCACTCCGACTTCCCCAGGGCCCGAGACTGGGGCCCACCTGGACAGAGCAACAGCCTGTTGCGGGGAGTGGGAGACAGACTCACACCCCACCTCCTCCCCTCCTTGCAGCCCCTCCTCTTCGGGCAGGAAGGAAAGCACCTGCCAATTATAGACTCGGCTCACAGCGAGGCAGGTGAAAGCGATTGACCGCCTCCTGGCAGCTGGGCCTCGCGAGCTTCCCACCGTCCTCACGGGGCCAGGTGAGCACAAGGGCAGTCCCGGGGCCCCAGTACCCGGGCGCAGGCGGGAGATACCCAGCCCCAAGTGTAGAGGCAGCAGCCAGGGGCCAGTGCGGGGCCCGGCTCGCACCTGGTGTTACTTGCTCTCCGGGAGCGCCTACGGAGGAGTCCTGCCTGCACCTGGGCCCCAAGTCTCAAAGGGAGCCGGGGGGCCGGCGGGGGGGGGGGGAGGCCACGCCCACTGCTCCTGCCCTGGCAGAGTGGCACCGTGGCGGCTGGCGTGGGATGGGGGCAGGCAGGGAGGGCTGGTCCCAGGGACCCTCCGCTACCTGCCACCAGCCATGTCCAGGAGGCTGGCCGTAGGTGAGGCAGGCCAGGTGGGCCAAGCAACGAGCTGCACCGTCGACCTAGCCATCTTTGGGCTCCTTCCCGGGGCTCCCCACACCACTCCACTCTATCTGGCATATCTGCTGTTGTTCCCCAGAACAGGAAGTGGCTACAGTGGGGTCCTGCAGCTACCCCTGCTTCAGTGCTCACTCCTGCTCCCCCTCCATGGCCCAACAAGGGACATGAACTTGGGAAACCTCCGGCCTCCTGCAACTCCATTCCTTGAATGCTCCTCGTCTGCACCCCACCCCGTGACCACCCACCCACACCTGCCCAGGTCCTTTCATGGGGGTTTAGGTCTGGG